CCCAGTAGCCAAGGACCCACCATCTTTATCCTTTCTTCAGCTGTTTCAGCCTTCACTGCTGTCTCTGTGTCTCCAACATAGGCACGTTTACTCCCATCTTGCCATCTGCTTCTCGGAGGACCTAGGCTAACACTCGAATGTTAAAAGTAGAGGCGTAAGAAATTCTCCCTAGTGCTGTCTGAGTACTTAACTGAGCATGGGAATTGCCAAAAAGGGTCCTTCGGAATTTGGATGAATACGGAACGGCAGGTGTAATGATCTGACGCTCTATTACTTCTGGGCATATAGGAAGTTTAGAAAGTAAAACTAAATCGTTCCAAGAAGATGAAAACCAGAAAGGACATTATCGATACTTTCCGTACAGTTAACTCCTGTCCGAACAAGAAGTTTCTAGAGCACCTTGATCATCAGCCATCCGAGGGCATTCGCGCTGACAGGCTGCAGGATGGTTCACAGGAGAAGCTTCAAAACAGCGCACACAACCCCTGCGGGCTGCTCTGTGAGAACGCTGCATAAGCCAGATGCAGTGTCTGGTTTTAGGACATCTGGAAACTCTTTCTTTCCACCAAAAAGACAGCATCACTTCAAATCCCACCAAGAAACAGTGAAGTTAATTGTCTAGGCGGCCAGGTCAGTCCCTGAGGGCCTTCGGAAGAAGGGAACCCACCAGGTAATGGGGGAGAGTGAGGAGACACAGGGGTCGCTGGGAACAGCCCCGGTACACTTGATACATCCCACCCTGACACATGTATGCAAGAAATACTACAGCTTATGAAATACCGACCTCTACTCGGATAACAGCGTATCAGCATTGTGAGAAGATAGACACCATGACCCACGAAAACAAAGTTTAGAGCTGAGGTAGGGATATAAAGACCTGGTAAGTGTATATTCTGTGACAGTTTCTCAATGGACTAAAAACAGTCTGGCCATTACATTACTTACAGGTAATTTTATGATTTGGCTCTATTTTCTCATCTACTGTAGATTTTAGAAATGTAAAAATAAATATGTTTGAATCATGCAATAAATACTGAGACTTACAAGAAAGAAAAATTACAGAGAAGGAAAGATCAGAGGAGCAAAAGTTATACACACATGAAACAGAAAATTTCTGGCAGACTCTCCACTCCTTTTGGTTCTTGGACCCAAAGCACTTAAGAAAACTAAACAACACAAGGCATGGTTCAGTGAGTTCATGAAAGAGAAAAACACATGAATACTAAGACTTCTAGAAGTAGAAAAAAATTCACTGTATAGGAATTAAAAGAAAACATTAGTTCATATGTTTGAGGTTAATGCAATACTAGCAATTTGATGGAACCAACACGTGTGTTGTGGTGTCGATTTTTTTTAAATGGTTGTATGCACGGAGATATTTGAAAAATATTAATGTTTTTTATTCCCAGCCTCTAAAAGTCACACTCCTCAGCAGCCGCCAGAGAAAGGAGAGGTAGACGCTACCTCAAGTGGGACGATGGACAGGTTATGGGTCAACTGTAAGAGATGGGAAAGGGGAACTGAGTGGATTCTGGGAAGAAAAGAGTGATGGAGGCAAAGGAAACAGTTGGAAAGATGCGTGTGCGAGGACCTTTCCTCCAGGGCAGGGGGGCGGTTAAGGTCCCAGAGACAGAAGGCACATTAGGTGGTGGAGGGGGACTGCCAGCTGCAGCATGCTATGTGGTATCCAGGGAAGGGACCTCTGACAGACCCCACACACATACACACCAAAATGAGACATGCTGCAGAGTCTGGCAAAGGGAGGACTTTCATATGCCGTGGAGGGTTTCAGACCCTTAAAGGAGAGATTACCAATGGTGTCACCAAACCACCTTACGTGGAAATGGTGTGCAGCAGGAGCTAAGTGACCCTGTGTCGAGGGCTGCCCAAGGCATTCGCCACACAAGAAATCAAATAGATGCTGCAGCTGAGCTCAGAGGGGTATGCCTCACCAGAGCCAGCCCGGGGGGCAATGAGTCTGTGAGGCCCAACTGAACAAAGAAAAGCCATGAGTTCTCAGGCCCAGAGTTCAGCTGTTGGGGCCAGGAAAATGCACAGAGACTAAGCCACAAAGGACATCGGAGACTACAGGACCTGGAGGACAGTGTATTTCCCTCCTTCCTCCCAAACAATGCAAAGGCCTCAGAACACTTTACGGCCCTGTCTGGGGTCAGTTTTCATCAATGGTCAGCATTTGCTTGACTCCAGCCACGTGTAAGACAATACATGTTAGTGGGAAAAAATGAGGAAATCATGTGCTCATTCAATATATTCAGGAAAAGCATTTGATTAAGTACAACATCCATTTATGATTCAAAGCAAAACTTAAAGCAAAGAGCAACTAGAAAAAGAGAACTTCTCTAAGTTAGTAAGACTGTCTCTAAAAACCCTTCGGTAAATCTCAACTTGAGTGTTCAATGGACTGACAGAGATCAAAGCTGGGTCGTTACAGCCACAAAGGCGGTCACAAAGGTAAGCTGGGAAGCGAACATGACCAGGGCTGGAGGTTAGCATTGTATTGAGGCTGATCTGCAAGAACTAAGCTGGTCCAAGCTGTGGGTAATACAACTTTACCCGGATCTAAAGACTAATCTGAGACTAGAAAGAGGAATCTGATGCAATAACAACTGAACTCTAATACCTACCAGAAGTTCTGCTATTTGAAGAAGCTGTTATTCTAAAGAGTGTTAATGACAGAGTCGAGGTAGAGATAAACACACCATCATAAATATATAGCTAATATCTGCTATAGGGCTAATATCAAAAATGAGAAAAATCAAAGAAACGTCACTCATCTTATTAGGGAATTAGATTCATAATTGGTCATGATCGCACTTCTAAAAAAATGTTTAGATCCTGGTACCTCTATTATTTGCTTTACTGGAAAATTTCTATCTCTGCCATGAGTGATGTCCTTAACGCAGCCTTGCAAATACAAATAAATTAAGATATAACTGGGTTACATAGGCATGAAAATGTGTTTTTAATTGTTGAATCAAGTTAAGCTGATCATATCAATAAGTCTATCAAAAGCAAAATGCACATGGAAATCAAACTAATGATGCATAGTAACTAGACAACGATATCCAAACTGACACAGTGACAGGAACGGAGGAGCTCCTGTGAAGACTTCAAACAGCTTCAACGGTTTCCTGATTTCAAAAAGGGGATATTGAATAATAATCTGAACTACGCCAATGTTATAAATCAACATGAGACATATCACTCCTAATAATGCTTCCCATCTGGAATGTTTTCCATGCCTTAAATATTAAATCAGGAAAATGAATTGACCATGACAAATCTGTGGTAGTAAATCTAGAAGTTTCCAGGCAAACTACACATTTTGAAAGGTTCTAGAAAAGAGAATATTTTTCTTTCCTTCGGTGTGTAGATGGCTGTGTAAATACGAGTGTGCTGCTGCCATTCTGAAGATGTAAGCATTCTACAGTTATCCACACCAGAAAAGAAGATTGTCCCAGGGATTCCATGTGCATATGTCTTGACAAGCTCAAGACATAAGCACGGAAAAAAGCAAAGAGATTTTTCAAATTTACTTAGTAATGACCAATACTCACACCCAGGAAGACATCTTACATCAATTAACCTGAGAGGAAGTAGTACATTTGGCCTAGAGAGAACTGTTACCAATGTTCTACTTAATCAAAAAATAAACAGTGTTGATGTTCTGAAACTCTTTTAAAATTTGCCCAACAAAAGTTAGATTACTTGGGAAGGACGCTAGAATCCCTTAGCCAAATTCTTAGTTGTTTATTTTTGAATGTGTGTTTATTAAGAGTTAATGATGAAGTGAGTTCATATCTGTTTGACATAAGCATTCTCAGCCAGGGGTTCCACGGACTCAAAGGGAAAGTGTTAACATCTTTATTTTCCTTAACTTCTGGTAATGAACATTTCCTTCAGTTACGACTAGGTAAAACCACAGGCACTGTGACTTTGTTAGTAATAAAATAATGGTTACTTTAACTCAAATGTGATTCAAAAGTATCTGGATTGTTCACACTCACTACCACTACAAAAGTATGTAAGTAAGTAAGCCCCGCCCCAAGAGATTATGTAAAGCATTAATAAAGAAGGATGTATTATGACACCACAAATTCTAATACTTGTAACACTTTGATTACTGTTAATATTTTAAAGGAAGCCAATTAAATAATATGTATGTTACTTTACTTCAGTTATGCTGAGAAGAGGTCCTGGGACTCCCCCAGGATGCTGAAAAAGTTCACAGCAAAAAAAAAAAAAAAATAGAATCTCTCTGTTTCCGAGAGAGGGAGAGAAACAAACCACATAGAACCCAATATTCTATTTCATTTCCTCTGTCTGCAATGAGGATTTTACAAAATCCTCATCGTTTACCCTTGTCACTTTAATGATCATTTCTCACTTGCTGGCTCAGAGATGCTCTACATTTTTAAACAGGCAGATTCAACCTCTTCCCTAACTTGTACTTCACAGATAAATGGCCATCCCCATACTATCAAAAAACAAACAAACAAAAAACTTCCTTTTCAAACCTTTTCATTGTATGTATATTCTTTCTCTTTTCCTCCTATCATTCTAAATTCAAACAGCTAGGTTAAGCAAATTCAAGGGAGTCTGCCTCAATAGATGGTCCAAAATGGGTGTGTCTGTGGGAAATAGCCTGCCCTCCGGCTGGAAACCACAACCACACCTCCGCAGGGCCACTCCCGGACTCCCTGACTTGCTCGGCATCTGTCACTTTCGAGCAAGAGTCTCTCAGCTTTGCACAGAGAAGGGCCAACCTTGCCCAGCAGGGAATGACGTCCTGATCTTCCGCTCTCCCCACTGCAGGAAGGCGTAGCCTCTGGCCTGGGTTCATCTAGGTGTTAATCTCTCGGGTAGCCCACTCTGATCTCTTGGGTCACCGTCCGGCCACTCGGGAAAGGCCAAACGCAGCTTCCTGCAGGAGCAAGACCGGATCCCAAGAAAATGCCAAGGGACCCGAGGGCGCTTACCAGGCCTCCACAGAGGCTGAAGACGGCTGTGTGATCCTCGCGAGCGTTGACCTGGCCGCGGTAGAAGCAGTGGCGGAGGTCTGGGGGCGCCGCGCTGCGCTCCTCGGCCCTGCGCTCTGGGGCTCCCAAGTGCACCTCGGTGTAGCCGGCAGCCAGGAAGGCCGCGTCGGCGCTCAGGTTCAGCTGGAAGAGCTGCCCGTAGGCGCGGATTCGGTAGTGGGTCCTGAGCGGCGTGGGCTCCGGCGCCTCCGAGCTGCGCTTCCTGCGGCTGAAGTGGTGGCTCTGCGGGAACACTTCGCCGAACTCATTGACCCGCGCGGGGGTCACCACTTCGTAGGAGGCCAGTGTCCTCACCAGGGCTTCTGCAACCACAGCGAGACGGCCGTTGAGCCCCCACCCCTTTCCAGCTTCCCAGCCCCAAACTTCTGCAACCAAACGTCCCCGCCGAAGGACCGAGGCCCCGGGTCCCCAGACCCGGGGAGGGGGGCGCGACAAACAGACACACGCTGGGGAGTGCGCGCGCGCACACACGTGCGCTCTGCTTTCCCACACCCCCGACTCGCTCCACGCTCCCCAGGCAGGGACCCCGCCACTCGGGGCCCCCAGCAGCCACCTCCTTCCCGCGCCCCTCTTCGCCTCCCGTCCGCCGCCAACTCGTGCCCCGCGGGCGCCCTCGCCACCCTGCCCCACGCACCCCCACCGCGTGGTCCCCGAGGGAGACGTGTCTCCTGCGCGCGATTCCTCGACACCCGGCGCAGCCGCAACCTCCGGGGATGTCTGGGGCTGACTGGTCCCGGAGTCCCGAGAGCCCCGGCAAGGCCGGGGTTCCCCAGCGGGCTGAGCCGCTCCCCCGCCTCCGTCCGCAGGTCCCCCTCGGGCCCGCGCCCCACCCAGCTGCTGAAGGCGCCCCGCGGTGACCTTACCCTGCCTGGGGTGGAAGTGAACTTCCCAAGACCTGGTGATGAAGAGCGAGAGCTGGTAGAGCAGCCCCGTCAGCCACTTGGCCACCCGCATGGTTCCGCCGGGGGGGATCCCGACCCGGGAGGCCAACCCGAGCCGCCCGCCACCCAGCCGGCTTCCCCGCGCTCCGCTGCCTCTCCTCCCTC